CCCCCCCCCGCAGGCTGGAATGGGTGGAAATCATTGAACCTCGCACGCGGGAGCGCATGTACGCCAACCTGATCACGGGCGAGTGCGTCTGGGACCCTCCCGCCGGCGTCCGCATCAAGCGGACCAACGAGAACCAGTGGTGGGAGCTCTTTGACCCCAACACCTCCCGCTTCTACTACTACAATGCCACCACCCAGCGGACGGTGTGGCACCGGCCGCAGAATTGCGACATCATCCCGCTGGCCAAACTCCAGACGCTGAAGCAGAACACGGAGTCCCCCCGGGCCTCCGCCGAGAACAGCCCCGGGCACAGCACCAATGTCAGCCGAGAAGGGAGCACCAGCTCCTCTCTGGAGCAGGAGCCGGAGGCGGGAGAGAAGGTTCCCGAGCAGAACCGGCCCAGCCGGCAGCCGACTCAGTTTGCCATCGTTAAGGAAGAAGCAGAGAGGTAAGGGGGCAATTGACGCCTTTGATTTGTTTCTCACTAGAGAGTGGGATGGGATGGAATATAACGTGGAGTGGAGTGAATAGAACAGAACAGAACATGGAATAGAATAGAGAATGGAATGGAATGCAATACGGAATAGAATAGAATAGAATAGAATAGAGTAGAGTAGAGTAGAATAGAATAGAAAATATGGAATGGAAGAGTAGAGTAGAGTAGAATAGAGTAGAAAATATGGAATGGAATAGAATGGAATAGAATAGAATAGAATAGAATAGGAAAATAGAATAGAATAGAATAAGAAGAACAGAAAAAAATGGGATAGAATAGAATAGAATAGAATAGAATAGAAAATATGGAATAGAATGGAATGGAATGGAATAGAATGGAATGGAATAGAATAGAATAGAATAGAATAGAATAGAATAGAATGGAATAGAATAGAAAATATGGAATGGAATAGAATAGAATAGAATAGAATAGAATAGAATAGAATAGAAATAGAAATAGAAATAGAAATAGAAATAGAAATAGAAATAGAAATAGAATAGAAAATATGGAATGGAATGGAATGGAATAGAAGAATAGAATAGAATAGAATAGAATAGAATAGAATAGAATAGAATAGAATGGAAAATATGGAATGGAATAGAGTAGAATAGAGTAGAGTAGAATAGAATAGAAAATATGGAATGGAATAGAATAGAATAGAAGAATAGAATAGAATAGAATAGAATAGAAAATATGGAATGGAATAGAGTAGAGTAGAATAGAAAATATGGAATGGAAGAGTAGAGTAGAGTAGAATAGAGTAGAAAATATGGAATGGAATAGAATGGAATAGAATAGAATAGAATAGGAAAATAGAATAGAATAGAATAAGAAGAACAGAAAAAAATGGGATAGAATAGAATAGAATAGAACAGAACAGAAAAGAAAATATGGAATGGAGTAGAATAGATCAGTATCGAACTGTTGGCTGTGGACAGAATTAGCCTGCAATACTGCCATGGCGCCACCAGGGGTCTAGTCACACGGTCGTTAAGTGAACCTGGCTTCCCCCTTGACTTTGCTTGTCAGAAGGTCACAAAAGGGGATCACCTGACCTCAGGGACGCTGCGACCGTCGTAAATATGAGTCGGTTGCCAAGCGTCTGAATTTTGATCACAGTGACCATGGGAGAGGGTGCAACGGTCGTAAGTGTGAAAAACAGTCCTAAGTCACTTTTTTCCACGCTGTTGTAACTTTGAATGGTCATTAAATGAATGATTTAAGACGAGAGTTTCACTTAACAACCTTGTTACTAACACAACAACTTAACAACTATGCAGGAAAGGTCGTAAAAGGCAGCAAAAACTCACTTAACAACTGCCTGGCTTAGCCGTGGAAATCTGTGGCTCATTTGGGGTCAAACCTCAGGGGACTCCTTGCACAAGAAGCCATTACAAAAAGACATTAAATATATTAGGAAGTATAAAAAAAAAAATCTACCTCCCCAAAATGGGGAAATAAAAAAAGGGAGCTGTAAGCAAAACCCACTCCATCCTCACCAAGTAAATTCAACTGGAACGATTTCTCAGTCTTAAAAATACAATCCAATAAATCTTCCTTCGATGCCTTTGCCCGGTTTTCCGTAAACTCCGAATCTTCCTCTCTCCCGTCTTAATCAGCAAAGATCCAGCAAAAATTAAGCCAAATGCCTAACGAGGTAAGGATGTAATAATCCCCCTTTTCATTGAATGTAAATCTCACTTATCCCTCTTTTTAAAGAACGAAGCCTTGTTTTTTTGTTCTTTTTTCCTCTTCGAAGATAGAATTGTGCTATCTTTGCGGCAACCATCCACTTGGGGCTCCGAGCCGTGCTCATTAATATAATTAATGAGATTATTCCGGATCTCCCCTCCTTCCGCCGTGCCCTCAAGACATGGCTTTTCCATCAAGCGGGATTGGCTTAGGGGGGGATTTTATAGGGATTTTAAAGGGATTTTATAATTTTTCTAATACAGGTTGTTTAATATATATTTTAATTTGGCTTTTAGATATTTATTGTATAGTATTGTTTTTATTTACCTGTGAGCCGCCCTGAGTCCCTCGGGAGAAGGGCGGGGTATAAATTAAAGTAATAATAATAATAATAATAATAATAATAATAATAATAATAATAATAATAATAATAATAATAATAATAATAATAATAATAATAATAAATAATGGCAATTATCAGATCTGTGCCAGGAGTAATTAACCAGGGGGGGAGGGGAGGGAGGAGGAAGAAACAATAGGTGATTTTCTGCCGGTGGGGGGGAGTGTCTTTTCCTACATCCAGTGCAATGGGATTAGAATTTGGTAGCAAAGGGGGGTCCCCACAAAAGGTGGGCAATTGGGGGCCCAGGAGGGTGGGCAGAGAATAGAATAGAATAGAATAGAATAGAATAGAATAGAATAGAATAGAATATGGAATAGAATAGAAAAGGATATAGAATAGAATAGAATGTAGAATATGGAATATAAAAGGATATAGAATAGAATATAAAAGGATATAGAATAGAATAGAAAAGGATATAGAATAGAATAGAATAGAATAGAATAGAATAGAACAGAATAGAGAATAGAATAGAATAGAATAGAATAGAATAGAATAGAATAGAATAGAATAGAATAGAATAGAATATGGAATAGAATAGAAAAGGATATAGAATAGAACGAAATAGAGAATATAATAGAATGTAGAATGTAGAATATGAAATAGAAAAGGATATAGAATAGAATAGAATAGAATAGAAAAGGATATAGAATAGAATAGAATGTAGAATATGGAATATAAAAGGATATAGAATAGAATATAAAACGATATATAATAGAATGGAATGGAGAATAGAATAGAGAATAGAATATGGAATAGAATAGAATGGAGAATATGGAATAGAATATAAAAGGATATAGAATAGAATAGAATGGAGAATAGAATAGAGAATAGAATATGGAATAGAATAGAATAGAATGTAGAATATGGAATAGAATAGAATAGAAAATATGGAATAGAATAGAATAGAATAGAATAGAAAATATGAAATAGAATAGAATAGAATAGAATATATAGAATAGAATAGAATAGAGAATATGGAACAGAATAGAATAGAAAAGGAAATAGAATGGAATAGAATAGAATTAGAAGGAAAAGATATTGGGTCTAGATTGAAGAAGTCAATATAGACCACTGAATTACTAATGGACCCAGACAGCACGTTGTTTATTATTTCACTGTAAAATTAGAAAATTAATAAAATATTTTTTAAAAAAAGAAACGGGGAAAAAGAAGAGAGGGTCTTCATAATTCGAGGAAGACGGTCCCCAGCCCTCCATCTCTGGCCCTAGGCTATTGTGCTGCAGCCACACGCCCCCACTTGTGCCCCAAGCCTCCCAGGAATCAGTGGCCTTGTAATTGCAAGGAGAAAAGTGAAAAGTCTTCCCAAAGATAATCTGCTAAAATTTAGAGACCTTTGGGGGGGGGGAGAGAGAGAGGCGCATGGAATTAGCGCGGTGCTCCCTCGGCCCCGTGCTGGGCTTGGTCATTTCCCACTGGTTTAATTTGTGGGCAAAAGCACGGCAGCCGCTGCAAGACGCTGGCCCTCATCCTGAACCTGGCGGAGGGGGCCGTTAGAGGACACACACACACACACACACACACACACACACACACTCACACTCTCCCAGACCTGTTTCTGTTCACCGTGCAGAGTTCAGCCTGCAGCCCAAATGTTCCACTTGCACGGTCTTCCCGCACGCCAAGGGAGGAGACGGTTCAGGTTGAACACACACACACACACACACACACACAGACACACACACACACACACACACACACACCAGGAAATGACTCAGATATAATAGGTGTTTTCTCCCAGCCCTGGATAAGCCCAGCTGAAGGATATATATTCAAGTTAAAAAGGAAGCAGAAATAGACCCTCCTGCGTGTAACCGCGGAGCAAACACCTCTCCGAAAATAATTCCCCACTTCCTTTCTTGCGACAGAAATTACGCACTGCTTCTCCCGACCTGGCCTTGGTTTCCCTAGCGTTGCAGGTAGGCCTCGGCTTAACACCGTTTGCTTAGTGACGGTCCGAAGTTACGATGGCAACTTAAAGACCGGAGCTCACACTTAACGACCGTTGCAGTGTCCCCGTGGTCAGGTGATCAAAATTCGGACGCTTGGCAAACCGGGATGTATTTATGATGGCGGCAGTGTCCCCCCCCCCCCCCGGTCACTGTGACCGCTTTTTGCGTCCCCCCAACAAGCAAAGTCAATAGGAAGGCCAGATTCACTTAATAATGTGTTATTGTTAACTGGGGTGATTCACTTAACAACCGTGGCAAGGGAAGGTCGTAAAGCGGGGCAAAACTCAACGTCTGTCTCGTGTAGAAACAGAAATATTGGATCCCATTGTTGTCGTAAGTCAAGGACTACAGGAGGCTGGACTAGAAGATCTCCCAAGGTCCCTTCTAGCTTCTATTCCATTCCATTTCTATATTTCTATTTCTATTTCTATTTTTCTTCTATTATTTCTATTTCTATTATTTCTATTCTATTATTTCTATTCTATTTGTAGACTTCAATGCCCAGAATTCCCCAGTCAGTCATGCTGGCTGGGGAATTCTGGTAGTTGAAGTCCACAAGTCTTAAAGTTACCAAGTTTGGAGACCTCTGGTGTAGGATCTCCTGCTTGGGCAGGGGGTTGGACTAGAAGACCTCCAAGGTCCCTTCCAGCTTCTATTCTATTCTATTCTATTCTATTCTATTCTATTCTATTCTATTCTATTCTATTCTATTCTTTGTAGACTTCAACTCCCAGAATTCCCCAGTCAGTCACGCTGGCTGGGGAATTCTGGTAGTTGAAGTCCACAAGTCTTAAAGTTACCAGGTTTGGAGACTTCTGGTGTAGGGTCTCCTGCTTGGGCACGGGGTTGGACTAGAAGATCTTCAAGGACCCTTCCAGTTCTGTTCC